CAGTATCTGCTATTAGACATAGGTATAAACTGAATGGGTATATGATATACACTGCACGCAATATTGTCATATAATATACATTGCATGCAATATTGACATGTAATATGCACTGTATACAACATCAGCATTTCTTATCGGAAGATAAACAACTTCTAATTTACCCCAACATCTACATCCATAAATGCTTAAATTCCAGTTTTTCTTTATTTAGGACTAAGGTACTGCACTATTATTAAATAAACAAATGCTCAGTTTCGTAGCGACAATTCCTGCTTTGGGGCTAATTGTTTTAACACGCGATTCCGTCATTGTGATTTGTTATAGCCTATTCATGCTTTCAACCAATAAATCTTGATAGTGCTACCTTTCTTATTAATGCATACATATGTTCAGTGATTATCAGTATCGCTAGTAAAATGCCAATGGATTTTTTTATTATCAATGCAATATGATTACATTTGCGTGATTTCCCTAAGATTACGCTTATAAATTTTTTTTTTAATAAATTTTTGGTTTTCAAAGAAAACAAGCAGTATGTATATAGCAGTCAAAAACGATTAACTTTTAAAGCTGAGAAAACTGCTGTTAATCTAATTACTAAGATTTAGAAAGATAAATGTCACTAGCTTCAGATTTAATTGCAAATAATAATAACAACTGCATCTTGCTGTTTATTTCTGCGTTTTAATTTACTGATTTACTGATATGATGGAAGGTATGAAAGGAAGGAGAGAAGGAAAAGTGTATAGTGGACCAAGCAGCACGACAGATGGTCATCTTTCTGAGCGATTGTTGTAAGATTAGCTAATTTGTACAGATGAACAGCGGCTATCTGCATATCTTCGAATCACATTGTATGCTATCTGCTATCGCAGTGGAAATTCGCTTTGAATACTAAATTCGTCGTTCAAAACAATAAGAGTTGCACTTTCTAAATTGTAACTTTCAGATTTCTGCTTACCTATGACATTTATAAATTTTACTTTTGCTACTTTTAATTTGGAAAAATTTTATCTTTGCAGATCATTTCATACTTTTAAGAAATCGAAAAAAAATTGGGAAAAATTGCTATGGAAAGGAAAATGAGCTTAAATAAACATCATTACTTCGTTATCAGTTGGATGCCTAAACATTTAAAGAATCAATTTTTGATGAACTGTAGCAGTAATTGCAACAATGTATGAGAGAAAGTGCATTTTAAAAGAGAAAAAGTGCGATTACCAACGGCATGAGCAGTTGGTGTCATATGCCAAGCAGGTCAAATACTGCGATCGTAAATTTCCTTTAGGAGTATAAAGACCATAAGCTTGTTTGGTGTATCATTCGGCGTGCAATTGTCCCAAACACTATTAAATGTTTGTTAATTCACAGTAAGTTTTATAAAAATTCGAAGTTCAAAGGCAAGCTTTGGTAACATTAAATATTAGAACAGTCGCAATGGAGAATGTCTATAGTTTGCGTATATTAGCAAGTGGCTTGGAAAATAGCAACCTAAAGTAGTTTTCAAATCCATTCCTAACAAAATTTAGTGAAATAAGAGAACATATATTTGCTTATTCAAAATGTGAATAGCCCTAATTTATACTGTTAAATATCTTTGGAAATCGTAGATTGCCGGCGTCAGCAACCAAGTAATTAATAAAAACTGGAAATTATATCAGATAAAAACGATCAGTATAAGATAACAAGTCAGATTTCAACGTATTATATAGCCTACGTCCAAGATTTTTTGGCCAGAGAATAAGAAATAAGTAAGGAAATCATAATATAAGATAGGATATTCAAGAAAAATTACAATTACCAAAAAGCTCTCTCTGTGGAAGGACTAAAATTATCAAGAAAATAGGAAATCAATAAAAAAAATCAAATGAAGCAAATGAAATTCCTACAGTTTAAATAAGCGATGGATAACAGATAGCGCATAAAAATGAGAAAAAGGCGATAGAATGCAACATTTTGATAGCCGCGCTCAGATAAGTGCGAAAAGAGATATCTTTTAAACAACTTCCGGTTAGCGTCGTTATTTTGAATGTATATGCACAAAAAAAGTATATAAAAAGATTTGCAAGCATGCATGCATGCATATACTTGTATATGTTAATTGTGAATGTGTATGTGTGTGTATGCGAGAATATCACTGCGTTTTTGAGGTGTAACAAATGAATGCAAGCAAACCCAAATAGATGCGCAGTAAAGCAATTAAGGAAAAATTGGAACGGTGACTGGGCAGTGAATGTTAGAATAATGGCTTATTGTCGAGAAAGTCTTCCCTCGAAAAGCAAGATTAGTTAATTCGAGACATTAAGCGCACAGTTGTGATTAATTGCCATTTGAAGTGCTAATTCAGTATATTACTGAAGACAAAATGATTCGCATCCGTTCATGGTGCTACCACAAATTAAACTGAACTTAACTAAGAAGATTCTTTAAAAATTGATTGCGCAATGGAAGATGAATGAATAGAATGGCATTCTTCAAATTGTAAGAAATAATAATAACATTACATTACAATATTGTATTAATCATTTTAGAGTATAATCAAAAGTTGAACTTGCTGCAAAAAATTAACTAAGTTTAGCAGTAATTGGTCGAGAAATTATTTCTTAAATTAACATTGAATAAAATAATCAATGGCATACAAACATGGAAGAAAAATTGTTTATAACAATCCACTCTTTAAATTTCTAATTAACAATTTCATTGGGTTAATTTAGCGATAATTTGATCCCAAATAAGCAAATCATAGATTTGTTTACGAAAAATCTGCTACTTTCACTACAGTATTATATTTGCTATCAAAATAATTTAAAAATGAAATAGAATAATCAGTTCGCACCTCTATTTTTTTTCTTTGAAGAAAATTTGAAACCTGAAAAATTTGAAAATAAAATTGGTTTGCTAACTAATTTTGATTCACTGTCCGAATAGTTCTCTAGTCCAGCTGAATTTTAACAGAAATGTCATCTTTACATGATATTAGTACTGTTTTTAATATATAATATCAGGACAACGAGATAAAGTTCGTTGAGAATAAAAAGGATGGCACCTTGTCAATTCAAGTAGTTTTTCGCTAATTTATATTAAAGTCATTTCTAAACAACAGTTAGTATTTATGTTTTGTTAAGAATATGTCACTGATATGAACCAGCTAAATAAGTAAAAATAAAACAAAAAACATTCCGCGTTTTGTTCCGATCATAAGCTGAATGGATATAATAAAATTCGGAATTGAAAGAACGTTACAATGCTTAAAAGTATTGTTTTTCAGTAGATAAAGTAAAATGTATCGTTTATTATGAAAACAGAATGTTTTTCTTTTTTTACAGCTACTAAATACAAGTAGGAAACATAAGGTTATTTTTATCAAACAATCGATATAGTAAATCTTCTGCAAAATAGTTCCAATTAAGTGGTTTTACAATTTTTTTTTGCAAGAACTGAATGTTATAAGACCGGGATTGCGGAGTTTGCTTGCAAAAACTTCCGTTGACATCCAGGGACGCTAAAAAATTCCTCTATATAAATTTCTCTAAAAAATTCCTAAAATTCCTAAATTCCTCTTGATACAAATACTTATAATATAATATGAAATATTGTTATCGATGTCAGTAAGTTTATAATTTTCATCATCTCTATATTCCTTACATTACTATATTGTTTTACCATAGGTTTTTGCCTATGAAAAAGTCTATAGTAAATATATTAGTAATTCATTCCATAAGTACAAAATTGTTTAATAATAAGGTTATTATCACATTTTTATTTTATGACTATAAAAACTCAAATGGAAAAGAATGAAATCAGAAGTGAAAAGCTGATTTTGTTTGCTAGCAGATCTAAGATTAAGAATGATGCAACTGGAGCGATAAATAGGTCACCAGCAGAAGGACAATTAGGAGGCTTTCCTTTCTTAAGCTATCTCGGTAAAGTGATCACGGTTCATTGGCTTTTCCGCATATCTTAATTGACAAGTACAAACAAATATGCTTTTCTCTCTCCTAACAATAACCATACTGTTGCCGAACAAACGATTATTCATTGAATAACCGCCACATAACCTTTTTCATACCAAATCCTCCCTCTCTTTTCGGGCATAGTTTTTCATCCACAGCAATATTAATTAAATTCGACTTGTCCAATTTAAAATCTGTTCAATGAAATTAATGAAAACAGCAGTATGCAAAAAATTTGAAACAAAAAAATTCTTTATTCTTTTGGAAAAAATACAAACGCTAATGCAAAAGATTTTGCCTGAAACTTGATTTACATCAAAAATCCTGAACAGCACTTCAAAATCATTTTGCCCAATTATAATGCTTTAATCGACAATATTGTAAATGAATACAGATACTGATTTTTAAAGATGAATTTCACGCTTCACGAAACAAAAAAAAATTTCATTGGATTTATCTAGATCTAATAAATTCTTTATCAGTGCTTCTATGATTATCAACAATCAAGCATTCAAATATGTTGGAAAATTTAGCATTGTATCAGCTTTATTGATAAAGCAGTGCTGTAAATGAATACGGACATTAACAGATACGTTTCTATAAGCAAACTATTATTCAAGGAAAAACTTCTTCACTGACCGAAGTAATCCTGAGTCCAAATATTCCAAAATTTTATTTGATAACTTTAGAATTGTTACAATCCCAAAAAAAAACTCCTACCACAGTTTTTGTCGTAATATTAAGTAGGGAATAAATTTTTTATTCTCTAATTCTTATTTTTTAACATAACATTTGTGGAAAGCTTCTAATTAAATTCTATCTTATAATAGTTATCGATACGTCTACTAACCAAGTTGTTATGAGAAAATAATTCAGTTGTAATCAAATCATTCGGTGTGAACAAAGGAAGTGAATCATATAAAATCTGCAGATTTATTTCAACTAATCGGTGAAATATATTTAAAATTTTTTAAATAGTGATTTTCATGCGACTTTTCGGGTCAATCTCGAAGAATATCTTAGAATGAAACCAGTATTCAACAGTTAATGCATCTGTCGGCATCGACGAGTCTGATAACTGGTATCTACAACCACCATAAAAGGAGCTTCTGAGGCATCATCACTTAGTGATTGTCACACTACTCAACTTCCTTTGACGAACTTAATCGATCCGTTGGAATAATCAATTTTCTCATTATCGTTGCCAACGCATAAATAAATAAAAGCATTGGTTTATTTTACCACTTTACATTTTCTTTATGAATTTTATTAGAGCATGCATCGAATAGTTTTTTTATTAAGTTTCATTACAAAAAGTAACATTTGCAGAAAATAATCTGAACAGTGACATGCTCTTCAAGCTATCTGTAACCTGGTATTTTATTTCAATTGTGACAGTCAGCGGACAAAGTAAAAAAGAAACTTTGGAAAGTTTCAAATGGCCGCGATGGGGTTTGTTTTCTAAAAAATTTTAGTTTGAAGTACACATTCGCTTTTATAATTGATATCAGTAGAACTTAGGAGGGGTTAGCTGTGCATTTTTCTCTTGTTCCAGAAATAACTAAAATGGAAACATTTTCTTACACATGGAATTTTAATCTTACTCGAAAAATATAAATTCCCCTACGTAAATATATCTAATCCTTTAATATTCAAAATAAACTATGTAAAAGGATTGCTACTCATCTAGCAAATAAAAATCACAGTTGTAAGTAATGCCTATAGTTGGATGAAATCAAAAATTTATCAAGGATTCCGAAAAAAAGAAAGTCTACTTCCTATTAATGAATATTCATATTTTAGAAGAACGAACGATAGATTGTACAACGACAGAAAGAAGGGAACTAACTCAATGCACGTTGATCGCACGAAATGCCAAAATACCTCGAGATCCTGCTAAATACAAGTGCCGCCGTGAACCGATGCCCGTGGATAGCGGGAATATACTAACACGAAATTTCACAACAAGATTGGCATGTCCTATTGGTTGTGAACCCGACGCCAGGCTTTCTGTTATTTTTAAATTTTTTACTCATTTCTTGTTTTGATCAAACTTTCTCTTTCTCCAAACACCAGTCAGTGAGCACTACCACAATAACTCTTCAAATAATACATCATTGTATTTTCCGGTTTTTTTTGTAATTATGCCGTCAGCATCATCTAGTTCTTTAATTTTAATTTATTATCAGCAATCTCAGTCGTTGTATAGAAATTATATGAAGTTTATTGCTTTTAAATGATTTACAATGTGACAAATATCCCATAAAAGAGAGCCGAATGAGGAAGTTACAAAATTTTAGCAATAATTCAAAGACCAAGTATAAAATAGACTGCTTAATAAATGAATTTTCTACATATTTTACAGGTTTTGGTCAAATCACCTCAGAATAATCCTTTATGTCAAAAATACTATACATATGGAAAGTATCGAGATCAGAAAGAAGGCGATTGGTATCTTTGGTTAACGGAACCATGTCGAGCAAATTTAACAACATGGTGCCGTTTTAAGGATATTCCACTTTTCATTCCCAAAGTTAGAAATTAGTGATAAATCAGCTCAAAACCGTATCAGTTAGGCTTTTATCATTTGCATTATGAATTAGTTTCTTGGAATGTTAATAGCATTGATGATTAACCGTTGCCGTTATAGTATAATGATGAACAGTAACTCTCTTAATGAGGCAAATTGATATTGTTATCTCTACTGATATGCTGGTTCTCATTTCAATCTAATATGACAGAAAGGATTGAAGAGATTCGGGGATGTTCTTGAAAACCAGAACTAACATCATTGAGGGAAGCATACAATGGAAAAGCTTTTTCATAGCATAATAATTTAGTTATTAAAATTCTAGTTTGTCCTTTCACTTGCAATTTTATCAATTTTGGCAATAAGACAATGATAGTATTAAGTGGAGCTATTTTCTTTTCTAGCCTTTTTTATTGTGAACGAAGTAGCTTTGATAAGATTTATAACCAGTCGATACTTACTAATTCGCTTGTTTATATAAAAACTCAATATCAATAGTAACAGTTAATAATGGAAATGACAGGATAATCACAATAACAATGAGTTAAAGATCAATCCTTATAACCATTATTCGATTTTATGTTCCGAGTAATAAGATCCAAAACTGAACATTCACGTCCCTCTTTTACTTTCTTTTAATCTCTTCTGCTCTTCTTATTTTTTCATTTCTTAGAAAAATATACAGACTCTTGAATCAAGGTTAAAGTGCATGTTCGAGAACACGAGGGTATATATATCTGGTAAACTTTGTTGGATATTGCAGTCAAATACAATGGTTTGTTTCAATGATTTATACCTGGATTAATGTCAAGTCTTTAAAATCTGGAATTTCCTACAAAAAAAAAATCAAATAAATCTATCAGTAAAAAGCAGTATATTTTACACAACAACAAAATTGGTACAATTACACTTTTGAGATTTTTTTAATAGTTGAGGGCCAAGGGTGATAAAAACGAAGGAATTCATTTGTAATAAGAAAAAATTAGCTATTGTAATCGATTTGAACTGAATGCTGATTGGAGGCAATTTAGAAATGTATTTTTGGCATTTGAAGGAAGCATCGTTAGCAAATGAAGCGTTAATTTATATTCAAATTCTATTCAAAATTACTTTTGGGAGTCCCAATCAACGCAAATAGTTTCATATAATCTGTTGACAATTTAATGCTGAAATGCGATAACACGTCACACACACAACGTTTTTGAATTCATTACCCAATGATTTTTCAATGAACTGATTAATATTTTCCTGTCATTTTTATTTTCGTTTTTCATCAAAAAAAAAGAAACTGAATTTACAAATTTCCTTTTTTCTTCCACATGCAAAAAAATAGCCATTATATCAAAAAAAGATATTAAAAGATATTCATGCAGTGTCATTTTGTTGACTATTTTGAATAATACAGTCTTCAACTGTCGCATTTTTCTCTATTTCACCCTTCTTCCATTTTGTTCGCCGATTTTGAAACCAGATTTTCACCTAGATAGATATTCATCAGTTACTACGAAACCTCTTTTATTTATCACTGCCAAAACTTTTTTTAAGCGGTTAAATAATTTCAAAAAATCTCAGATATCTGCTATGATGATGTAATCGAGTTAATACTGTCAATAGAAAGTAAAATTCCTAAGTTAATGGCCTATCAAATTAAAACGATTTGTTAAAGTTTCGCAAATCAAGTTTCTGAGATAACACACAAAAAATACTTATCTTGCAAACAAAATGAACAAGATTGCAAAAATTGCTAAACATATGGACAAGGAAGGGGAATAGTAAGAAAGGATGAAGTATCTTTTGCATAACCATTATTGATTCTCAAATACGATACTGGTAGTCCAAGATCAACTGAGAATGCACTATAGACGGAAAATTTTAGTAATATTCTAAATCTTGTTATTATGGATACATCTTTCCTAAATTAGAAAAATGCAATACTTTTTTTATAATCCAACAATAAAAGAATAATACCTGCGTTTCGGTGACACTGAGTAGCTTAGCCAGTTCCCCCCGTTCACTAGAAGATAAATACTTTTTCTTCTCAAACTGTTTCTCAAGTTCAAAAATTTGTCGGCCAGTAAACGTTGTTCGTGCTTTCTTTTTTTGTGGTTTTTTGAAGACACTTTGAGCTCGAGCTGACTCCAAATTCTTACCAATGCATTTACATCTTTCTAGAAAATGCAGTTTTGGAAACAAATAGTTGAAGATATAAATATCAATTAATTACCATTTGAAAGCATAAATGATTAATTAAGGAGCTCTGTGATCTCATCAAAAATCCCATAAAGAATAAAAGTCAGCACGAACTGATCCGAATCAAGTTTACGATAATAAGCATAAAAAGTACAAAGTAGAAATGGCATGCCTTCAGAGTGCACTTGCGTTACTGGTGAATTGTTGGATAAGATATCCCGAATAGTATATGAGTTTGTGGATTTTCGAGCCGGTGTTGGAATCAGAATAGGTGGCCAGAGGGAAGCTTGCTGTAGTAAAGACAGTAGATAAGGAGATATGATTGGTAAAGTAGGTGATGCTGACGAAGAGAAAGATGACATGAATGAAGTGGGTTGAGCCTGAGCCCGAGCCTGGCAAGATATATACTGACCAATGATTATGTATAACTGGGTCTGATATAAATGAGCTTTGCGCTGCAGCCGCAGTACTACTCAATCAGGCATCTTGGCCAGAACCATAGATCCCTTTAATTATTAGCCATTCATGGAAGCACCACTCGAACCACAATTCAGGATATATTTTACAGCTGATTCTCTAGTAATGTGGAATTGTTACTGACTTCTTCGTCTGAGCAACATTTTCTCTTGACGGAGCACTTGCAACCAAGCTCAACTTATTAAAAAAAGCACATATTATTCATTGCAGCAGCTCATTCAATTATTCAAAAGAGAAATACGAGCGAAGCTTATTTTCAAAGACCTCATAAAAAACATATGCTAACAATATAAAGTTAAAAGATAAAAAATCCATTAAACATTAAGTTATATTTCGAATTTCTGATCAAAAATAATTGGACCACTTTGTTGTATACATCCACCTCCTTTTAAAGGTTGGACCATGCAGTTCCAGTACAAAAATGCACATTCCCCGTTGTTAGCATACACTCACCCATTGTTTCCATCTGCTACATGAAAATCATTTATAAGATTGTCAGTGCAGACAGAAAATAGCAGAACACATCACGTCTGAGACATCTCAGATAGATTGAGCACTACCCTGTTTTATTTCCCGCGTTTTTTATTAACACTCCACGTCTCATGAGGGAAAAGCGTTAGAAATATACTGTTGAGTTCGTTTCCCGCAGTGCAAGCGATATCGAAAAATGATGATAAGAGGAAGTAGCCAACGAATAAAATGAAAGAGTGCACTACAGGTCATAATGAATCGTCAGAAACATTTTTATCATTTCATTCTGTCTCCGCTTTTTCTAGAGATATTCAAACTGTGGACAGGTATGCCCAATAAATTCACTTCAGCAGTAATGTTTGAATGCGATAAGCAAGGAAAATTTTAACATGGAAACGTTTCAGCAGAATTCCACATGCGGGAATATGAGACTATAAAATCAAAGAAGTTTATAAATCGATAAACGGTGACAAGTAATAAACAATAACAATTATAATATAATGGAGTACTGAACGTACCTCCATAAATAAAACAGCGAAAAACTTGAATATCAGTAGAAATAATTACATAAAAGATTTGGTGTCGAGAATGAGTTATAAGGCAATATGGTAGCATACTACGTGGGATATATAATTGTTATTTTCGAAATCTTTTGACTATAGACTTCTCAGCTTAATCGTTAAAACCACAAATAAAATCAAAACGAATTTTATAAATTTAACTCTCACCATATTTTCTCCTTTTTTCTCCTAAAACAATTCATCATCAAAATATATATCAAATAAAACGACTGCCGAGGTGGGCACAGTATCTCTGCAAATCCATGCTTCAACAGTACCTTTATTAATAAAGTCATCATTTACTTAGATGGAAGATAAATACAACAGCAAATTAGGAATTCATAGCTTTACAAAACTATAAATTTCAGCAATAGACAAACATTGCTGACATGGAAGAAATTGAAAGAATAAATGAAATCGAGTGACTAGTAGAAGAGATAAGAAGAACAGGACTGCTTGATGCGACAAATAACAAAACATGCTCAAATCGCTGGAAAATTTATGCATCACTGTTTTTTTGCTTTCTAAACCATTTCAAAATAAGGTCAAAAAATCATGAGTGAATAAAGCAGACGGTGAAAAAAAACGTATCACATATTGGAAACTAGCTTATATTTCTCCTTCAAACTCATCTGAGTGTCACGTCGCGGATCTTTCTTACGACTCACTAGTCGACTGCGTGCTTCACCTGCACTCAGCTTAAATATATCAGGTATTCCTGAAAGTAAGAAGTTCCTAATGTCGAGAAGTACTGGAGCGGATAGTACTGAAAATTAAGTGAAAGTTTTGATAGCTTCCCACAATACACAGAACTCATGCCAAACTGCTGAATATCATCAATTGTACAAATGTTTTACCAAAATTATACCTAAAAATCAATCCCCTATCCTTAGAAATGTTTTCTTCTAGCAATCGAAAAAGATAATCTGTCTCAGTTGTTAATATATGAAGCACTAAAGACAATATTCTCGATGTTGCCAGATGCCACGCCATTAATGCAAATATAATTGACCATTTTGAAAACATCCATTACCGGCACTATTCGGATGTGCATAGTTGAGTGGATCAATGGACTTATAAAATTCACGTTTTACAACACAGGTCCAAAGGTTATCGAAACAGACGTCATGAAATACATAATTTCAAAGCCACAGGAACTTCACGAACCACTTTTATCCATTTTGTCGTTTCTCTCGAACTTCTCAGCTTCATCCTGATGAGGCAAATCTGCTTCTTGTTTTAATGGAGCTACCGATGCAGTGATTTTTGTTTTCGAATTCGGCGAAACATTTTTCTGAAGTGAATGAAACATTTGTCAGACAACTTGTTTTTGTGTACTTTCAAATTGAGGATCCCGCACACTTATTTAGCCATTATGTTTTGACAAATAAATTTATCTGAAATTTAGCAAAATTATGAAATAGCAGTCACTCTAATGTTGCTATTAATTGGTTCTTTGGTTCAATGGCATAACTTTTCCAGGCAAAATACTAAAACAATACCTTTATATTAAAAAGCTCTTTCCCCGTTAAAAAAAATGTGTTCAATTATTCTAAAACATCCCGATAATTCAAGAAATTTATGCATTTCCAAAATACTCATAAAAAGCATGCTTGAAAAAAAACTTTTTGGATGAAAATACTAGGGTCCAAATTTGTAAGTGTCAGTTTCTATATAACTTGAAATGTTCTTCTTGAAATTTATTCATATATTTAAAAAAGAAAACGAAAAAAAAGCTTGTGAACAATGTTTTAAAAAGACACTGCACAACAAAATGCTGACGGTGAACTCCACAAATGTTACTGTTTTTTTTTTCTTTTTAAAAAGCGCGCTAGTCTTTCAAGAATTGAAATATCTGCAATCATGAATAATTTAATATTCCCAGAAGCATAAATTCTGCTGCTGCAATAGCGAGGCAAGGCTGAATACGAAAAAAAACTGAAAAATAGATGATATATGCAGAGGCTATTCTGCAAATATCTTTAAAATGAAGCAGTTCACTATATGCAATATTCTTTCACTGAATAAGTCAAATTCTACTGGGGTAAAGTTAGGTTTTAAAAAAATATACTTTTCTGCATGGTTAAAAATCAAGGATAAAAAAGAGAACTGCTAAGACTCCATAATATATTTAAGCTATATTAACAGAAACTGCCATGGATGAAGATGAAAGAAATATAAGCTATCAATATTATTAAAATAGAGTTCTCTATTTGAAAGTATGGTAGAGAACCATACAACGACTACATACAGCTTCACTTCAATTCCTGTATAGTCAGGTAAGTTCAAATGCATAGACCAAATCTAGGAAATATGATGATTCCCCAAAATGCCCCATATTTCTCACTTCTTCTAGAACATCGACTTTATACTCTGGATAGTGCGATAGCAATTCCTTTGATAATTCATCTTCGCATTGCATCATATTATGTTCCTCAATTTTCACTGTTCTCTTTGTAGACTCATCAAATTCATATGATATCAGTGAATCTCGATGATTTCTTTTCCAATCTTCTGAGCTGTGTTCTTCTAGTTTCTGAACGAAACAAAACAAAATAAATCCACTTGAAAAAGAAACCGAAGACTTCAGTGTTGACGCCATTTTCAGGACAGACAGTATTGCGAAAACATATTTAACCGTACAGCGGTTTCTTGTTAAAGTTTGTAACGTGCACATTAGTATTATATCATACATAAAGTAGTTCTAGTGATGAATGAAGATTCCGCAAACTGATTGATCAAGCGTTCAACAGTGTTCATCGTTATTCACCGTGGAATTTTAATAAACTTACATTTGAATTGACAAATTATTCGCCAAACATCTTCACTTCATTTGTCGGCTGAAACGTATGGAAATTCTAATAGTACGAAAAAACCGAAAACTCATATCACTATTGTTGAAGAATTGGAAAATCAGTGAAAATATAGGACCATATAAATGGTGCGTGTGGATGTTCTTGTCTTACCTGTCAATTCTGTAACAACAATTTCATCCGTAATAATCTGTCCTCCGCTTTACAAGCAAAAATTAATTGTTAAAAAGGAAAATTTCCTAATTCCAAAAAAATAGAAAAAGACAATCATGCCAAGAGAACCTCACACCTATTATATTTGACAAAATTTTTTCAGCCGATTAAATAAGATACATTAAGACTATTTACATGTTTTCGTTATTTCATCCATGAAAAGGCGTTTGAAAAATATTTTCAAAGTATTAAACTACCGTTACTATTAATTATGCAGCATAATCTCAAATCATCGAAATTTTAAGATCTCTATTCAATTACGGCACAGCAAGCTTCTTAAAAAAATAAACATGTGCTGCAGTTGCAGAAAAATCGGGGATGTTAGAGATCCAATGCAAACAATTCTTGTGAGATGGCGCCAAGATAATAGATACGATAGAATACCAACCTTACGAAAGAAGGTTGATATGCGTTTTTTTAACCATTGTTTTAATCTGCCTGCTAATCAAGCTATCAGTAGGAATCAAACAAATCAGACTTTTAAGACTGTAACTAATCCTATGTAAAAGTAGTTGCAGAGATATTCTAAACAATCACACTGTTTAAAATAACAGATTCCAAGAGAAAAGAGTTTGTCAAACTATTTGTTCAATATACAAATAGCTAAGAAGTCTCAACTGTTCAAAAACTTATTTCGGCACCATGTTCATGTATGAAAACTAATATTTTTAGACAGTTAAACTGTTATTACCATCATTGTTAGGTGTAATGCGTTAGGTAGAGTCACAAAAGTTTGCAAAACAACTTATTTAATTTCTTTACAGTTTTATAAGACCTTTAGGGCGATATACGATGCTCCCTTCGCATTAAGAAAATATACCACACACATTTTTTGAATAAAAAATACTGGATTTCGTATAATGTATGCAGCTGGTAAGGTGAAAAAAAGGATGACAATAAGAATTTATATTATGAAACGTCATAATTCTAAAAATTTTGCTCTGATATTTTACGACATTTCATACTATCAGTAATTTGATGGATGAAAATTCACTTTTACCTGCTTCAGTTTTTAATTAAAATAATTCGATTAAAAGAATACTTTTTACTAATATGAGCGAAAACTAATAAATGCTACCAAATGTAATTTATCTATGAAATACAAAAAAAGACTAACAAGCATAACTGTTTTCATATTAAAAATAGTAATTTCTTATCTACCTGAACATGTCAGATATCTAAAAAGCAGATTTTATATAAACGACCAAAAAACACAGGTGCAAAAAAAGAATGCACAACAGATTTAGTATTTAAGTATTGTGATGGTGCACCACAATACAATTAATAAACGTTGACTTATAAAACAAGAATGTTGGAAAAAATGTTAAACTAGTTATTACAGCTAAAATGAGAAGACTGAACAATCGTATTACAAACGTAGATCAAATAAATCATCTGCTTTTTTCTTTTCAATCTGTTCGGTAGAGGAAGCAAATATCAAAAGCACCGAACAGTGTGACGCCATACTAATAGTGAATGGAAGAGTGATCACGGTAGAAACTTATACCGGGTCAAGAGCAAAAAATGAGGAGTGGTGAAATCAAGTGGTGAGATTACACAAAATTCTCGAAATGAACAGGAAAGGAATACTCATAGGGAGAACACCTAATACTAAAAGTGACTGAAAGTTTCGAGATAGCGCTATGAATAAGGGCAAAATCCTTGAAAAATGTTGAAAGGAAAATCACAAACAGCTATATATTATTTTCTATAAAGTGTAAAGATGGTGTAAAAGGCTTCACATATCATTATTTGCTTCTTCGGAGAACTTCGGAGCCGATTTAAACAAACTATATTAATTAAACCATCTAAAATACTTAAACCATTTTTGATATGATATTACGGAGGAATAAGTTAAATAAGGAATAAAGTTTTGGAAAAAATAAGATGATGTCCAGTGATGACAATCCTACTGCCATCACATATTGAAAACACAAACACATCATCAAAAACAATTCCAAGCAATTGAAACGTCTAGGGCCATTTCTCTATTACCGCATACAGCTTTGACGCGAATTATCAACAAAAAAAAATATCAGTTGGAAGGAAAATTCTCAACTTACGAATTACAATTCAGCCAACTCTATGCTTAAATTTGTAATTATTGCTACATTTTCAAAAATAGAGCCAAAGACGCTTGACTCTAATTCTGAACAAAATTTAAAAACAAAAACTTACAGATGCACCGTTCTCGAAATTATACAAATCAACTCGACCAAATGAATACTCCATATGGTTTTCAGTGTACCATTGGTCAACTTCCTCTGATGCAACTAGCAGCTCGGTTCGTAATGGATTCTTTTTTATTAATGATACAACTTCCTGTAAGATAACTTTCAAAGTATATATACGAAAACAACTAGTCAAACTTATTCTAGCATATATAGAAAATACAGTTCCCTAAAGGAAAATGTACAGCCAGACTTTTGGCTTTAGACTAAGTTTTTTTAAGATTGACAAATCATCATACGAACACTGAATTGAACTAAATATTGTTATCAACAGTAAAAATTTCCAATCCCACTAAACTATCTTAAAGTAAACCATTGCAATCGTGCATAAAAGAGAAAGATGTGAATTACAGAATCCAATCATTCAAACTTTCTATAACTGTGCTAAAATTACATACCTTGTGAGCAGTGCTTGGATAAATGAGCTGACCATTAACACCCACAATTCGTTGTCCCATCTGCAAACCTGCCCGTTCACCGATACCATTTTTATCAACAGCTCCAACAAAATGTCCGCGATTCTTTTCGGCATGCAAATTAAATCCAAACTCTTCCGTCGGGTCACGTTTTCTCTGCACAAAGTCAAACATAAACAATTTACAAAACATTTGAAAAACGAAAAAAAATTACAAAGAAATATTGAAATATTGAATATTATATATCCACAACCAATTCCACCTTTAATTTATATTATTCTGAATAAAACACATGACTGGGAAGCATTACAATCTTTTCCAAGAGACAACTCGCATGTGAATTACTTCAAGATGCTATAATATGACTAGGAATTTCGGGTAAGGTAAAAGAGGAGGATAAACAAAAATTAAGATTCTTTAAGAGGGACAAAAAATTTGTGCACAAATTTTTATATTTAAGGTGATTTACGAATCAATAAATAAGAAGTCCGATTTACCAACAATTTTTTAACTATCATTTCTTAAATTATGTTAATTATGTATTTATGGGAATACGAACCAATCGGCACAGTCGTGGTTTCGGAATATTCGTCATTGATGGAATGGATTTTGTCAAAGAAATGTTATATCTCTGCCTGTCCTCCTGAAACGACAACATAAGCATCCTATTTCTTTACAAAAGTTTCTTGAATATCAATACCGCAAAATAATTCATACATTTCATCATCAACTTTCAAAAGCATTCTTCAACAGCATTTTCTCAAAAGAACGGTGTTAACAATTAGCCAAAATTCTTGCAATCTGCTAAAAATCACTTTGGTGAAACATTCAGAATATTTTCCTGAAGAAGCAAAGAGAAATAAAGAATCCACAAAATCCTGCAATTTAAAAAAATATCAAGTATCCAGATAACCTATTACTTTCGCAATAAAGTTAATAGAAATGAAAATTTCCACATCAGAAAAACTTTTATTAAAACTTGGCAACAAACTAAAATTAAATGCTTTTTTTATGATTTAAAACAAGATGAAAACGAAGAAATAGATTAAAAAATTAAAATATAATCGGCAATTGTGGTCCTTATCTTTCATAACTACTTTTCAAATTTAAAGTCTAAAAATATCACAAAAATTAAAACTCCTGTCTCACCACTAACTAAGAGATCAAATGCAAAACAATGACCCGTCAACTGTGGAAAACTGAAATTCCAGATTTTGAGCTGTTTATTTCTTTCTAGAAATTCAAAATCTTGCACCATATTAATAATCTGAAAAATTATACTTCTGCTATTAGTATGTTCGTTTTTTCTCATTTATTAAATCAAAAAGAGAAGGATGAATTAGTGCTCTAAACTGCATAATAATTAATTGTTACTGAAAATGGGAAGATTATTATTATGAAAATTTAACTTCTTTCTTGATCAATAAAACATTATTTGGAACAAAGCAAAAAAAAACAGATTATGCAGTAGAATTGGACCCTTTTTACGCAATTCTACTAAGCAGCCAGCTTTTTTTTGATTCCAAATAATGTTTAATCACTTGCATGCTATGCGACATCATTTTTATTGCATCAATATGGATGATTCAGCACCTGAGAGATAAATTTACAAAAGCAAAGAATTACGAAATACTTATTTAATTTTTGGTCATAAAAAAATAGAAGGAAAGAAGGTGACTAAACCTTTTTTGACTAAACTAGTCAATTTTAGGCAAATTATTTCAAACTACACTAATTTTCATCTAGAATTTCTGCTACTCTTCTATCGTTCTTAATAGCTCTTGCTTTGTATAGTATTATGGGAGAAGACTTCGTATAAAAAAAAAATATCCAGCCCAAAAGTCGGAAACTGTTCAAGGTCTATGGAACAATCAATGGATAAGCAACACGATATATATTATGAAATTTAATATTGAATATGAAAAATATTTTTTCCTTAAAAATTCTCAGACCAAAACTTCAACATTTCTCCAAAATCTGACCTGATAAAGAATGGAATCAACTGAATCCA